CAAGCAGAGTTCGAGATAATAATATGTGACAAAATAAAGCCCTCTATGGCAACTTTGTGTACGAAATAATCCTACTTGCAAGACCTACGCATTCCTGAGTTCCTATTATTAAAGCCGTGTCTGAACTACGTTTTGTTTGAGTTTATCCAACAACTAAGCTGAACATTACACAAAGAGTGATAAGTTCCTATCACATACTATTAATAACGATAATAATAATGAAAATGATGAAAATGACAAAAGTGAAAACAATTGATTATAACCATTACAAGAATAATCTTAAATTCGTAATAATAATAATAATCGATTTTTTAATCGCGTCTGTATAAAAAATAAACAATTTAACAACGTTTTTGTTAAGTTTACATCGCCGTAGCCGTCAAAATATCATAAGGACGTCATCACTCATATTTTCCTTGCCATTTGGACGTGTTCTGCGATCTACAACAAGGCAATGCGAAATATGGATTCTACTTCTTGAATCAACAGTTTCAAATAAAACGAAAACTCCTACTCTATTTACTTACGATTGGCCTCTGGAGCAGGTGATCCATCCCAAACAGTGTTCCTTTCTCCCTCAGTCGCTTCTTGTGCATCATTGTCTAGTTCTGCCGCAGCACGTGACGCAAGGTAATTGGCAAGGGCTATGTAGATGTGCTCTCTCAAGACTGGATCAACGGAGGGCTCGGCACTAGGGGGTACTGTAGTTATCACAATTGGGAATATTATTTCGGTGTTGAAGGCCTTCTTCACGCGTACTTTGAACTACATGGAATTAACAATCAAAAAGTATTGAATTGACATTGGAGAGAACCATTTATCAGGTGTAACCAAGTTGGATAGTTACCTTCATAAAAGGAAGGAGAACAATTAAAGTGAGAAGCAAACAGAAAAGCAGCATGGAATATGAGTTTTCCTTCCCGCGGCAGTTTTACGTCAACTGAATCAAAGAGGTCGAAAAAGGGGCTGGAAGTTGCACGCATTAGTGCTCAGCTGACTTACATCGTATTTACTCGAGCTGAAAAGCGCCAATGCTGCCTTACTAATTTTCCTAGGTAGCTGGCGGTCTTGGGTTTACTTTAAATGCCTTAGTAATGAGCGATAGAGCTAGAAGATTAGTAAGAGACGCTTGGGACGGAAAACGGGGGGGGGGGGGGGAGGGAGAAATTATTTCATGTCCCTAGCTTCCACGGCTTCACCTCGCGTTTTCACGACTGTGCCGCTCAAAGTTTTAAATTACCCACAATGCTGTCAACGGCAAAGGTTACTGATGGCGATACCGACTCATCGGGAGAAAAAAGTTCCAAGGAGAAGCCTTAAAACGCAAAGGAACAATATCTGTAAAACTCTGGCCATGAACTATACCCCTTCAACTATACCCTGTGAGACAAACACCTACCCTGATTGCGTACGAAATGTCAATGCATCCGAATCCTTTTGTCGTTGGTTGTACAGGTGGAATGACGAGAGAATCAAGCTCGACATTGGTTTGATCTCCAGGTGCTAGTTCTTGTTCTTTCTTTAGGATGTAAAGCTTCTCTGTTACTTTACGTGTTGTAGCTAGGCAAAAAGGCAGACAGACAAAACTTAATCAAGGTCCCTTCAAAAATGAAGCCACCACACAAATATCCGAGCATCATCATCATTTTCCCGATAAATGAACTTAATTTCTACGAGGGCTTAGGGATGAATGGTTGACAGTGTGGAGAATCAGCAAAAAGACATTGGGAGTTAAAAGAATTGTAAAAATGTTTTTTAAGAACGTAGAACAAAACACGGCACATAACTGGTGAGGTCAGATAGGCCCGTAGATAGGGAGTAGAAACTTCCCTGCCCCTTCATCCCTCCTTCAAATTTTTCAAGCAATGTTTCATTCCTTAACCCCTAACATCCTAAGATCAGTATGCAATTTTCCATAATCCTCTCTTTTCATTTCCCTCGGTACTCAAAAGAGAATTGGTTGCAAAATCGAGAGCTCCCTTCGTGGCGATCATTTGCTTCTTTTTCATGAGCTTAATGTCACTTTGACTTAGAGGCGACACTGTGAGGAGAAATTAGATGCTTGTCGCTTCTATTGGTGTAAAAGTTAATCCTTACCTTCCGGTGCCTTGTATAGCACTGTCTGTACAAGTTGCGCTTCAAAACCGATAACTGTTTTGCTGCTTTCATTATTAACATGCCCAGATATCTTGACCTCCTGACCAGGGCAATAAGCAAGACGTTCTATGCGGGCTTTGGTGTGCAGCTGACCTGAAGGGCAACATGGCCATCCCAACATACGATCTTCTTGTTTCACTCTTGGTTCCTGTCGACAACAAATGATCAGAGAGTATCCAAAACGTGGTGAGCGATCGCCGACATGATTACTCTAGGACTTTCAATTTTGATTTCTTTCTTCCTTCGTGAAATCAATTATAAAATCAAACATTTCTTCTTAGGAAAACGTGCAGCATATGCCGTTATTCAATAGAACCAAAGAGTCATAGGGCAAAGAAAGAATCAGCAATGTGATCATATATCATGTTCAGAACTATAAAGACAGTCCGTTATACAATGCCTCATGCACTAGGGGACACGAAAATGTAAGGGATTCTAATTTGGGTTTGTTTTCGATGCGCAAAGATAAGTTGTGGTGGCTCCCCCCTCGAACCACATCTAGATGAGTTCCCTCTTGGGCCTGGAATACATTTCGAGCCAGTACTTACCAGGAATTCTGGATTCCTAGTCTGCACGCGTTCGACAATAACTAACGGTGTGCGGGTATTGAGGTCAATTCTCCACGGTCGCTCCACCACAGCGTCTAACCAATATCGTACACTACCGTAGGTACCTTCAAATGATGTTGGTAATGCGGACACAGGAAGTGGGAATTGGAAAGGGAAATTGTAGTTTCCAGGTTGAAGCTTTACGTCACTTCCGTTTTGGAAAGGTGCTTTAAAGAAAATAAATTAAACGTTAGTTTGGATCGAAATGAATAAGATTAAGGTCAAATTAATAAATACAGATATTTTCAGAATATGTTAAACGCTGCCGAGGAGTTGATGTAAGAAAGTGTTACGCGCTTTTATTGGTTTGATTGATCGCCAATTCGCCAGTATTAACTGTCGGGGTTTTTTTCCTTTCTCTTTCGAGATTCGATCGACCAAGCGCTGATGGGTCCAGAAAGATAATTTAATTTCATCTAGCTCTTGAACAACGATCTTCCAAGCAAGCAAAGTTATCGAATAGCTACAACCTTATCAAAAGGGTGAGAAAACTGAGCTAATCGTGATTCTACCTCTTTCCACTTTTTTAGTTATGTCCAATGGTGAAAAAGGGAATGGAGACACTGAAATCTATTTTGAATGTGTAGTGTGTCACTATTGCCATTCTCATGAAAAATCAAATTGAGAATTTTCGGAGTCTTGATCTGCCTGCTACTTATCTCTTTGATTTACTGTTATGGCTGCTTGAAAATGAGCCTTTAATGAGACAGTAATTTTTTTTTAGAAGGAAACGCATCTGTTGTTTTAATATTTGAATTTGGGATTCTAGTGCTTCAAAGAAAAAATAATCTTCGTTTTGCATCTTCAAACGAGAAAATTTAATCAGTTTTCTCTCACAAAGGTGTTTATTGAGAAGCGTCAGAAAAACCGAGTAAGAGCGCTTTTGTCCAAAGCACGCGAGAAAGTGCGAGGCCGCCGAGGGGTCTGTGAGGGGTCTGGCACTAAGCCTCATACTGATCAAACAGGGAAAGCTGACGTAAACAATCTAGTTGGCACACTATCGCGGTCGAAACATCAATTTGTGGGGTAACGCATCTACATTATCAAACAGTTTTTCATTTTCTTTAATTTAAATTAAAATTTTCTGTAACGCTGAAAATGACTCAATTAATTGGACTTTGGAACGAAAAAATGCTTGTCTTGTTTCGTGTTTCTTGAGACGAAAATCCCTTTTTAGCAATTCACTTCTTCAGGAGGATCGTTTGTGGGGAAGGAAACCGTTTAGTTGATGGAAAAAAATATTAAACAAACAACAGAACTTGGACTATTCCCGCATTTTCCCATCTGAATTCAAATTAGCAGCTACTTAATGATACGAAAATGAAATTAGGCTCGAGCGAGAAAGCTTGCAAAGGCTGGGTTTTCTTTCACTGTTCGAAACCCCTTTCACACTGAGGGCTACATTCATACTTACCGGCAAAAAGTTGTTAAAAAAAAGGATATTCAGATCTCAGGGTAGTGTTACAACAATGAATATTTTGAAAGACGATTGACTGATTTGTGTTCGTCGTAAGTCTAACCAGTACGTTGCTAATTTAAAATGTTAAATTTTGAAACTAGTCCCTCATAACACGGAGAAAATCTTACCTCTTCCTAGAAGAATTGACTGAAAGCTCAGATAGTTTTCTCTTCTGGCATAGGTGACTTTACCTGAACGAATACGCACATGCCCTACACCATGCAGCTCAACACGAACACCTCTCAGATTAATTTCTTTGTTTGTATTCAGAAGCAACACGCCAGAAATTGTATCGCCGGGCTGAAATACTCGTTTGTCTCCGGTAAGAGCGATTGCAAAAAGATTCGCCATCATTCATCACTTCCTTTGAAGAAGTTTATGCGAGCAGCTTGTTGACACGTTATCGAGACAGCGAAAGAACGCTTCCTCGCTTTATCAAAGCAAAACAATGGCTGCCACATAGGACAGGGGAAAGGTTATCATTGCGTGACCTTTCGAAACTTATAATTTGGGTAATCATACGTCAAAGATTTGAGAGTTTTAAAGTAAACCTTATATTTAATACTTATCATCTTTAAGTTTTCGACCAATTTAAATTCAAAACAGCTGTGGGAAAATATTTATTTAAAAAATATGTTTTATAAAATCATATTGAATGCTCCTTCCGTGACATTTTTGAACCAATCGAATCATTGTTGATTGACAAATGTCAAACCTGTCAAATGTGATGATTTGCTGACTGTTCTCCAGTCCTCCCCTGGTCTTTGCGCGTTTGCTATTCCCATCAAAGATAGTAGTTTTCCTGGGTGATCTTCACAATTTGGATTTGTGAGGATCTCAGAGATGCCGCAGAATTTTACCAGAATCACAGCTGAAGATGTTAAATATTATCTTCTTGTAGAATTATTTGAGCAAGGCAAAGATGGATTCGACCTCACCGTTTGCAATGGCGATCACGTTTGGCGCGAAACAGGTAAATAGTCTGAAAATATGGAACCAATTATCATCCTCATGAAGGATTCCTCTTTATTCAGCCATGTATCTTGTTTAGAATCTGGAAATATTGGCAATACGCTTGCATTTTTGGTAGTCAATTTACTGGTTCCTTTTGTAATTAGTTCAGACAACCTGATTCAAGTAAGGTCTAATTAGGAAAATGACAACAAGTTTAACTGAATAATGGCTGTAAATATATGAAAATCATATATGTCCACTGCGGTTGAAGAAACGAATATAGAAGCGATCCTCGCAGCTATGAGCACTACTGAACTAGTAGTTGAAAACAAGGGCTAAAAAAAAATCCCACCCCATGGACCATGATACCCCCTGTCTGTGTTTGTGACAGTTGTAGTATCCACTTTGCCTTCACAGCCAATCATGTTGGCTGCTGTTAATTGTATTCAGTTAAAAGTCTAGGAAGTGAAGTTTTTCTGCCATAAACCATGCTGAAAACCCCTTTGGAAACATATGCTATATTACAGAAGGTTCCAGTGCTCTTTTCCTCATTTATCATAATATGATTTCAATTCCTTATTTTTTGGTTGTTGTGCTTTTGTTTTTTTCTGCTTTGAGATATTCACTGTGACAGTGACTGATGGCAGCTTTAGATAAAATTGAAAATATGGCTCTGAATCTCAGGTGATGACTGAGATCATTTTTAACATCAACAGCATCTTTAGTTGGTGATTATTTCTATTGTTATCATGAACTTAATGTGCAATTCAGGGAGATGCTGTGAGGAGAAAGTAGATGCTAGTCACTTTTAAGGATTTACTTATGTTGTTTATTTTTTCAAGTTGATTCATTGACTGTTGAATCTATGGCAAAGACTGCTGATATGAGTGTTACTGAATTTGCTGATCAAACAAGCAGAGCACTGACAGGCCAGACAACAAGTCAGGATAATTTTGTCTTTCAAGCCAAGCCTAAAGAGACAAAGTTACAGGTTGGATAAAACCTTTTGAGGCATTTTTGATTAATTACATTTCTGTATCTTTAGATATCTGTTACAAATGACTAAGATGGAATAAAACTGGGTAGTTGATTAAGCTATTTCCATTTCCTGAATTTCGATAAGAATAGAAATGGTAAGCAATTGATACAAACTTGATGTGGTGAGATGCTGAAAAAAGCTTTGTTCCCACAAGCCAGATTTTTGTTTTATTTTAGAAGAGAAACAGCAACATAAGTTAATATATATTTAATTTTTGTAAGCCCAGCTTTTTTAAAAGTTCAAGATGGCTTGAAACTCTCACTGGAAAAAGATAATGGAGGTTCTAAAACAGCGTGATGTGATTTACAAAATAAGCATGTAAGATCTTCAAAATATATTATTGATATGTGTGCCAGAAGGAGAAGCAGTAAATTTAGATGTTATATACAACCTACTATAGATTCTAATTTCTCAATACTCAAGTCCAAATACTTTACCTTAAAGGGTCTTTTATCCAGTTAAAAAAATTTTAGCTTTCCATTCAAATAACACAAAGAAGGGTAGGGAAAAGTATGCTGGGTATGAATGCAATGTTAGGGAAAACAGAACCAGTTATGGTTTATCAGGACTGTCAGCAACTAGACTTGAGGGAAACTACAAATAATGAGATATCCTCTAATTATTTTTTTGCTTTTTAGTTCTCTTGGAAGATGCATATTGGTGATGGTGTTAAGGTAGTGAAAAGTTCAAAAGTCGTACAGACTTAGTATTGTTCATAAACAGTAGTGATTAATGTATATTCAAGTTGTTCACAGGGGATATATTAAGGCCTAGATAAATTAAAGATACAATTATTTAATAACTGCATAAATAGGATTGAATTTTATTTACACATACATGTATATAACACTTCATTGTTGACTTAAGATATGTATTTTTTGAAATTAATATACATACATTATTCTGTCTCATTCCAGTTTCAACTGGGTTCTCTGACTTTGCCAAAAGTTAGTGACAGTGTTCAAGTAATCAAGAACATGTTTGATCTGGCTGTAAACCAGATGACACAGTTAAAGGTAATTGTAACTGATGTGTAATTTACATTTTAAATGAAACTGAAATGAATGACTAATGCTCTCTTTGTTACCTGAGTATAAAATTAACAGATATAGAATGGCACTAGATGGCAATTGTTTTCATAGACCTGGACTGCATGATACTTCATCCTCTAGAGTCCATTAACCCTTTAACTCTCAGATCAAATTTGTAATTCTCCTTACTGTCAATCATACAATTATTATGTTAGTTCAGAGAATTTAGTATTGAGTCAACTTATTATTTCCAAATTGATATTTTTCTTTGTTCTCATCACTTATCTGGTTGATATTGTATTAATACTGTAAGGAGAAATTCTGTCTTGGTTACTTATGGGAGTTAAAGGGTTAAGTTTCACTAGCACATTTAAGTTACAAAGTAGAGCCACCCCCTCTCCCCCCCTGTCACTGTAATTTGTCTAACTGTATACTGATAAGTTGCAGTGCCCATTATACACCTGGGTGTGGAGACGCTCTCTGACTAAAGTGTGTTGTGCAAGAACACAACATAAAGATCAGGCTAGGGCTAATGAATATAGACTTATGCAAGCCATTTAAATTCCAGCTTACCAACCGCTAAGCTATGGCATAAACTGTCATAATTTAGGTCTCTTTTTCAAGAACTCTAATTAATGTAATCCCCATTGCAATAATTGTACTTGTGAAAATGAAAGATAAAAAATAGCAGATTGGTAGCTATTTTTTCCAGTAGATTTTATTGGCAACTTGTTCATGTGTTCATACATGTATGTTTATTATCTTTTAGCAAGAAATGTCATCTTTGAGATCTGACAATACCAGATTATCTTCGGAGAGAAAAGATACCCTGAAGGTTAGCAGTCTTATTTAACACTTTAACCCTTAAGAGTGACTGACTTCTAATTTCTACTGGCATTCAAGAGTATCACTCGTGAATCAAATGTAAAGGTCATAAGAACAAAGCAAATAATCATTTATTTAAGCAGCTTTTGATTTTCCTTGTTGGTACCATAAGAAAAGTAGAGAGGGAACAGTGTAGAGAACATGAATTCTCATCTTAGGATATACAGGGTTAAATCAAAAGAGATTGACTGATTGATTGACTGACTGGATAGTTTTTTTTATGATTGATTGAACCTCTACTTCTACACGATAACTGTATAATTATTTATTAATTTATTCACTTTGATTAACTTAACATTATATTTTTTCAGCTTCTTGAGAAATGTGTCACTGCCAAAGAAGAAATGGAGAAAGATTTATTTGAAAAGGTTATTAAGGCTGTGACTTACTTTTATTATCAGTAATCAGGAGATTTGTTCCAGTTCTTGAGCATGTTTTTAGCTCTTCCACTCCAAAGATCTCAGAGTCTCTGTCTATCACGAATTTTTTGTGATGATTTTAGCAAGTGTTTGAAAAGGTATTCATATTATTAGAATAATTATTTTTAGGCACTTCTAGACTTAAAAGGGTTGCTTTGATATTTACTGGTATTTGGCCATTTGAAAGTTAAGATTTGTTATTGTAAATCATTTTTTATTTATTATTATTATTACTTATTGTAATTGCAGTTTGCAGCAGTGCTAAATGACAAGAAGAGCAAGATAAGGCATTTGAAGGAGCAAGGTTTGTTAACCTTGTATTAACTGTAGATGGAATTCTGATTTTTGTAAAATGATAACAATTCTTTATTTGTTTATATCCATGCAAATACTGCAGTAAAAGAGGCTTCTTCACAGCCAGTACAAGGTAAAGTGTACATAATGAAATAAATAATAATTTATGATAGTTATTTCTTATAAATCTATTACATGACTTTCCTTGATTGGAAAATGAACTTTTCCAAAAAAAATGTGACATTGAATAATTTATGCTTGGTCAGCTCTCTTGCCTGCAGTTCTTAAATGTTAACTTCACACTAGCTTATTAGGGGTAATTTTCTAAAGGAACTGAGTTGATAACGTAAATCATAATGAGTTTCCAAAGTGTCACACCAGCTTAGCCTACCAGCAAATTTCTCTCACAAGACAAATCTGAACTTTGCCTTACAGGCATATAAGTTTGGAAAGCTGACCAGCACACCAGAAATCTTTAGTAGACATCCAAAGTTGAACCTTCAGTTTTTCACTGTTAACAGAAATACTGGTACTCAATTTCATTGCAAATTAGATTTGCCTCTAATTTCTTTGTTTTTAATTATATTAACCTTCAAATTTTCAAGATATGTCGCAGTTTTTCTCATAATATAATTATTATACTTTTCCCCAGGTAATAATGAAACACTAGACTTAGCCAACAGGAATAAAGGAAAATCTAAAGGTACAGCCATCAGGTATAAAGCAGTTACTTTAGTAATAGACTGACTGTGAAAATGCATTTTGATTGAGCTTCATAAAACCAAATCCAAAGTAATACCAATGGCCAATTGGGAAAAAGTATCACAAGAAGGTGATCCAAAAAAACAAAACAAGCCAAATGCCTAATGTCCTGGAAAATGCCAATGAACTAGTCAAAAATGGTTTTAGTTTTGCATCTGATTGGTTGAGAAAGTGGCATGTCTATTGAGTTTTCTGCACAGATCATGTTGTGAAATAAAGCAAAACCCAGGCAATCCTATATTACTTTGGGCACTCGGATGAAAATTGCTTTTAATTAATAATGATGGCTTAATTTTTAATGAAAGAAATGAGATGATATTTGTCACTTAAGATAATTTAATTAAAAAAGAGGCTCTCTTTTCATGTGTTATTTTCAAAGGCAAGAGGATACTGGTGATGACACAGACATTGAAAAAACAGATACAGAGGATGTAAGCTAAAGATTTTACATGAAGGGTTACTTTTTTGTTCTATTTTCATTTTAAATTAAGTACAAATTGACTCTAAATCTTAAATCTTGATTTGAGTTGGTTCTTCCCATAGCAAAGGATGTTGATGGGAAAGGCTTTGCTCCAGTAATCATGCCATCTGTAATTAAAACAATATATTAATAAATACATAATGATATAGTTATAATATGATGGTCAGTCACTTGAGTTAGTGGCAGTCTTTAGCAGCTTTTCTTGCAAAAACAGCCTTTGAAAGCATCTCATGATCATTTTATTTTGTCTTTAACCCTTTAACTCCCAAGATCTGATTGTTAATTCTCCCCTCTAGCTGCTACACATATCCTTGTAAATTAGTTACGAGAAGGTGGTGCTAGATCAAGATAGCCGCTTCTACCTGATAAGCTCGAATATTCTCATTACCTTTTTGCTGAATAATGTATGGGTGTCATAGGGAGAAGTTTCGTGTTCATAACATCTGGGAGTTAAACAGTTAACACTTGACTGCAGGTTTTACAGTTCTTGTTACTTACTCTAGTTTACACTTCACTTTTTATTATTGTTTGACATTCATCACCATAAGCAGCAATTACAGTTTGGGTACAAGGTTGCTTAACCCTTTAACTCCTGGATCAAATTTGCAATTCTCCTTACTGTCAACCATACAGTTCTTATAATGTTAGTTCAGAGAATTTAGTATTAGATCAACTAATCATCCCCAAATTGAGATTTTTATTATTCTCAACACTTATCTGGTTGATATTGTATTGATATTGTAAGGAGAAATTCTGTCTTGGTCACTCGACCTGTCTTGGGAGTTAAAGGGTTAAGTGGCACATTGGATGTGAATTTTTTTTCCCTGTAGTCACCTATCTCTGAACCTGTGAGAGGAAGGAAAAAGAAACCAATGTCTTTGTCTACACCATTAAGTCAAGCTTTGTTACCAGATGATGAAGATGAAGGAATTGTACCAACTGTGAAGAGGTAATATTTGGAAAAGAAAAACAAAAAGTAGGTATATTGTTATTGGAAGCTAAAGGATGGAGAAAGAAATACTGAAAAGACTGGTGACAAGTATTGGTAATATAGGGAGGTTATATTGAGTGTCAAAAAGGAATTCAAGATGTCTTTCTATTGGTTTTGTTTAACCATTTGCCTTCGTAGAGTTAAAAGCGTCTAATTTCTCCTTAAAATCTCATCCCTGAATCAAACATTAAGTTTACGAGTATAAAGGAAATGATCACCAATTGAAGAACCTATTTTTTTGACAATTTCTCCTCGTCAGCACTATAGGAAATGTATAGAGAACAGTATGGAGGAAATGCATATTGTTGTTAGGGTGTAAAGGGCTAAAAGTCGTTCTTCGTACCAAAAATAACCTACGGATTTTTTGCTGGCGTTCTCTCACGTTTCAGGCAATTTAAGTGTCCTTCTTTTGTGATTTTCTCCTGGTTCTTATTGGCAGTTATGATTACTATGGTTATGGTTTGAGGACACTCAATTGGGAAGCACTCTTGGGTTAATCTAAATTCTGTTTTCTTTTGTTTGTTTGTTTGTTTTTTTCAGGCGCCGTAGAAGGAAACCTACAGAATCCCCTGCAGTAAAGCTAATACTTCCCAAGGTACCCTCCGTCAGGAAGACGCCTAGCAGTTCCTCCGGGGAGAGGTGGGGGTGATTAACATTAAGACAAGTTGAGATGTTAGTCTTTGAAGGACGATGGGAAACAAGAGGCATACGTTTTGAATTTCGTTATTTTAAATTTCCACCAAACTGGATACGTAAATGTTAAATGTCTGCTAAATTTCAGCTAATTCTGTCGCGGTTTGTAAACCACAAGCCGCCCCTCCTTTTCGGCTTAAATCTGTCGCACGAGTCAAAAAAAAAAAATAATAATAACAGTAAAACAATTAATAATTGTAGAAAAATTGATGTTAGCGCGCCGCGCGGAACTCTTGGAGTCATGCGCATGAAAAGTAGTCCCAACTTCCCGTGAGCCTCACTCCCAGAGTTCTACGCGGCGCACTAACATCAACTTTTGTCGCTGGTTTTTTTTAGACTCGCGTTAAGGAAAGAGACGGACTACTCCTAGTCCACGCGGTTTATGAAGCGCAAAGCTTTCGCTGGTGTCGCTCTTCCTTTCACTCACACTTCTTACTGTTTTGACAACACAAACAGCTTCAGACGCGCACGTAGTAGTTACATCTTTTTATCTTGCAGTTTGACTTCAAGTCGATCTCGCCTTCGTCAGCGATCATCAGACACATTACCTCCTGATGCGGAAGATTTGATGGCTGAGATGTAAAATAAATACGACTCATGTGGCTCGTGGAATGGAGATGTCTTACGACAAGACATTGTAAACTTTAATCTCTCGCTCACCAATAACACAAATTGATTCAACGTTTGTTAAAAATGGGAATAAAACGTTCTGAAGCCTAATGTTGAAATTCTTTGTCATAACCCCCCTGGTATGGCTTAACTTCCGCAATGTGGCGCCTCTGTAACGAAAACTATTTTTGAAATACTTTGTGCTTGGTAATAGAACATAAGTTTTTTCTCGGAGTCCCTTAGGTTGTAACTTTATTGCGTTAAGAGAATTTCGAAGTTGAATAGTCCGGAGCTAACCCATGTAGGCATTTGAATACCATGGTGAAATAAACTAACTTGTGGAACAGACATGCACATCCCCTTAACTAACATTAAAAACGGCTGAATGTGGATGCTTTTTCATACAAAGAGCAACGGCATTTTGATCAATCAGTCAATTAAGCTTATTATGGCAAATGTGCACCGCCTCTGGATGGGCGTCGAAAGGATTTTCTTGAAGGGGCTTCTTCGTCGGAAATTTATTGACAGGAAGATTGATTATTCAGCAATAAATCATCTTTTTTTTCTCAGTTTTTCTGTAACCCTAGGACCTTATCAGCTATTCCTACAAAAATAGCTTTTCCCGTCAAAATTCTTGGATCAGTCATAGAGGAGACTTACAGAAAGTTATAAACTCTGTCTTTGGGGATAGGATGCTTAGTTTTTGACAATCATTTGTTCAGGACCAATAGGAAACGATGCTGTTGTGTTCTCGGTCCCAGTCTCCGTAATAATCAAAGTATCGTGCTCTCTGTACCCGCCAGCTCCAGGTTTTCCTTCGGGAACTACAATCATTGGTTCCATGGTAATGATCATCCCAGGCTCCAGAACTGTGTCCACGTGCTCGAGGAACTCTAAGCCCCAGTCTCTTCCATAGTAGTGAGAAAGAACCCCCGTGGAGTGTCCGTAGCCAATGACTCGGTATTGCAGAATGTCGTGTTCCGTATAAATTTCATTCAGTTCCCGTGCAACGTCACCGCAGCGCATGCCTGGTTTGACTAGTTCCAGGCCTCTACGGTGAACCTTGTTATTGATCTCCCAGAGTTCCATATGTCGATCTGATGGCACGTGATCAAAGAATAACGTCCGCTCTAGAGCAGCATAGTTTCTATTACAAAACAAAAATACCAGCAAAATAAATAACGTTAGAAAATCAGGCAAAAAAGAACACTCGGAAAAAAGAACACTCGAGCGCTCCTAGCAGGAGTGTTGATCCCAGTATCAATCCATGCCACTTGTTGGCTCGGATACACTGAGCTGTAAGAGGCTCTTGCTAGCTTACGTATTGACTCGATCCATGTGACAAACATCCTGCATACTTATCATATTCACGTTCTGGGAGGTCGCAATGCTTTTGGACAGCGTTATGTACCAAGGCTCTGACGAGATATTACTAGCATACTACGTTCGACCTGGCTGAATGTTTTGCGTATCAAAGCGGAGCCTCCCGCCGATCCGATTTAGTCGGATCATTTGTATAAGAACCTTTATGAATGTAAGAGAACAAATCTACTTTCTGAATAGATAGACTTACCCTGCTATCATTGGAAAGCAGTTCAAACTCAGAATATCGCCTTTTTGAACTCGCCGACTTGTAGGAAAGTTGTGTGCACCGTCTGTGTTTATTCCTGACTGCAGCCAAGACCACGCTAGATAGAAAAGAATGTACGCACAATGAGGAAAGTGTAATGAAAGGGGAGTAGATACACTCCATGATGGGTTATACAGGGAACTCCTCAAGTGAGGGGTACCTATCTCAGAAGTAAAAACAGGAGTAAAAATTTCACGAAGATATCTCTCACTTGAGTAAAAGAAATTTGGTATGCACCCCAGTAACATCCTCAAGTGTTGGGGTTATTTTTTGGGAGTTAAGTTAGATTTTTTGGGAAGGGCCCATCAATAAAGTTAAAAAAAAGCGTAATTAAAAATGTTCTGTTAAAGATCAAACCAGAATTCCGATAACTTACTATCTCGGATATCGATTTGTGGAAATGTTACAGCGACCTCCCGCATCATGGCACTATTTGAAGCGATCACCACTTCATACTCTGGGACACCCTCGTGTAAGGTCTTGATTCCTGCATACGCCCCAAGCTCTGCTATTCGAGAGCCTTGACGGACTATTTCGACCTCCTCTGGAGACTTCACTCGTCGAATTTCCATGGCTGCGTCTGCTACGTCGACAAATTTGGCATGCGGTAAGGCCTCTGAGAAACTTTGCAGCGAGGCTCCCATATCTGGAAACTCTACACCCACCGTCTTTGCAGACTGTAACTGATAGTTTTACAAAGAGGCGATAAATAAGAAAATATATACATACTCCTATGCAGGCATCTAAAATCAAGAAGTAGTCTAACTAATGATCTTGGAAAGGCAACTCGCAAATTTTCGCTTTAAAGCTGCAGATTCCCAAGTAGAGGGGTCAAACGAGATAAAAAAAGCTATTTTTCCAAACAGTCCTAAGAGGAAAGATAATCTGCAATGCGTGAAGGACATTTGAAATCAAAGTGCAACCATTGATTTCGGGAGATGAAATGGAATTAATTTTACTTGAGAGATTATTCCTAGTTTTATATGAGTGGTTTCGCTGTATTACAGGTGGAAGACAACACAAAGTCAAACATCTGATTATTCGTGTTATTAAACGAATTTTATCTTCTTTTCGATACCTGTTGTTGCATGGCGTAGTAAAAATTTTCCTTTTGCCAGTTGGTGTAGCTAATGTTATCGCAAGTTCCTCGTCTCCATGGAAACCCATAATCTACAGCTGTAAACAGACAAGACCCATCAGTCTCAACAAAAAAATTCTACTTGAAAAAAAAAACTCTTTACTTTAACAGTAAAGTTGTTAATTGAACAAAGACATTTGACAAGTTCTTACATGGCGTAATTGTCAATGCTTTTTCGTCAGTAATGACCAAGGCGTATTGCCGTCCCATGGAACAGTATAGAAACTCGCTGAAGTAATAAATGTTGTAGTAAGAAGTGAACACGCATGCGTCAAGGCCATTTTTCTCCATGTAAGAACGGATACTGTTCAGACGCCGGTTCATTTCTTCAGAAGAAAATAGTGGTTGGGTCTGAAAATAGATTTTACATACACATAAAAGAACGTGAATCATGTAGAAATAAATGAATGGAGGAATGTAAGATTTTTTAATGCATATGGCGATCGACTCATTGAGAAATAAACCGAGAAAGTAAGATAGAAAGACGAAGGAAGGAAAGAGAGTTTTCAGAATCACCGTTACAAATAGGAAAAAACACTTTTGCGCTATAAAATAGATTGAATACTACGTAAAAGTAGTCCACAGTTTCAAATTCAATTTTATTAGTTCATGGCGTTTTCTAGGGTCGTTTTTTTGTACCTTTCGTGTCAATCGTCGGAAATTCCTTCTTTTAGCGTCACAAACCACGCAGTAATTAATTATCGCGGAGGGGGGAGGGGGGGGATGAGGACTTTGGGGGGAATTACATAGATTTCAGGGGGGAAACAACAGAGTATAAAGCGGAGACTATAGACAATTGACCGCCAGTGATGGAAGATCACGAGAATATTACGGAGCCTTATTCGTCGCAATTGTGGTACCCGAGCACAATACGTTTTCTTCGCACCCTGCAATCTTCTTCTACTCAGATTAAGTTTGAGGGATCCACGCACCCTTCACCTCGGGATAGTCCTCCTGTTATCAGGTTATTAGTGTGTATTATTCTGAGGTCAGGGCTTCATTCTCAGACCTGTGCCTTTTTAAAACACAGAGAGCTTTTGGAGGGGTGACCGGCCGCTCTTAATTGATAATTTAGCTAACCTTTCCGCCATTGTGAAGCTCGAGGGTTCTCGGGAAGTAATCGTGTTTCCCGCGAAATAAAACTGGTGTTAATAGGTTCTTGAGTTTGCGCAGTGTTTTCATCCTAGCTAACGAATCTGTAAAGCAACCACACGATGGCTTTAATCGCAACAAAATTATGTTTAGATTAAAATAAGTAGACTTAATTTGAAGTCCATAAACTCACACGGGGTTAGAGTAAATTTTGAATGGGTTTCAGTTATATCACTGGGAAAGGTTTTTCTCCTCTTTCCTTTCGACTGAAAACTAACAGATGAAACCCCACAAACCGTAAATCAAAGACAAAATTTAACTTTTATCTTAATCCTGAGTAACGCTAACCAGCTGACCCAGACTACCCTGTAGGCAATCCGTCCTTTAAAACAACAGTTAGCATCGCTGCCCCAATCCCTCGCGGCTCGTTCTCCTTCCGTCTTCTCTTTCGTGCCTCGTTCAGCACTCGAAAATGACGAAAGCTCGCTAGCAAGCCATCTTCACAGTGTTCAGGCTGAAAAGTTGGAAAAATCGTAGTCTACATTTCATGTTCAAAGTTTTCGGTCCGAAATATGTCACTGGTTTATACTGTGTATGCCACTATTCATCAGCAAGTCATAGCGTGACATAGAAATCTCTTGGTTTCGCAACGCAAAATGCTAATTCAGGCAAAGGTTTGAATAAAAAGTGTCGGCTGTGTATTTTTGAGAAATCCTTAACTTTATAACGAATCCCAAGTGGGGCTAGTTTTCAGTCACTTCGCCAGCAAAAAACATCGGGGAATTGGGTAATAACAAAAATAGAAACGGCCTTAGAACCGTCCGGTGTTAGCCAGCTAGGTTTTACAAACGACTCAAACAGACAGTTTTCATGAATTTTGTACAAGGCTTCTACTGATATTTGTCACACATTAAGATCGATTCTTAGCGAATATTTAAAAGAAAAACATGCTTTTTACATCTCCTCGGGTCACCTTTGGACACTGAAAAAAAGAAGACGAGTCCGCTGGTAGACAAATAATATTACAGGAGACATTATTAATCTTTCGTTCAACTGCTGGTCAACTGCAGTAGATTGCATGTCAACGGTACCATTACAATCTCGATGTATATCAGGCACTTATGTACGGACATTAATTAACCTTAGGCCGAGCTACAAACCTGATTACTGGGTAAAGTGGATTAGAGATGGAGAGTTCGCAAAATAGTACCAGAGCCAAGTTGCGTTACATGCCTGGATAAGAATGAACAATGAATGAGTTGCCAATTGGATCCTATTGTTTACGCACAGATTTCTGGGATCGCCACGAGGAAGACATTGCAACTCACTAGAAGGAAATGTATGGCGAAAGGTTGTTCCGACGTCCAGATAAACGATTTTAGCGAGAGATTTTCGCTTTTTCGCAGCTCTTTTATCAGAAATTGATTTGGGTAATGCTGATACAAGGGAGGCGTAAGTTTTTGTTTGAAAAACCATGTAATATGTAGTAAAATCTACCGATTAACTTGTCTTCATGCGTAAGGTTTATTGTGAATTTGACATCGCGTAATAGTCTCGAAATTTTGAAAACATAACTATAAATCGCCTAGGAATAACTCAACTAAGCCGTTCCAGTTTTTTGTACTTGTGTTAAGTCTCAGTACTTCCAGCGTTTTTCGTGGCTTGGTAATACAAAAGAGCGCTAGAATAGTTGCTTGAGAATTAAATATTATTCCGGTACATTAAAGTGATGAATCACCTATACTGCTTCTTTGTTGTGGTGAATGTGAACGAATCAGTGTTGATAGTTGGCTCAAAGCTGAACCCTTTCTTCTGTGACGAAGAGTAATACAAATCGGTCCCTTAAGGAGTGATGCACAACCGATGATATGTCCACAGTTTCTGCCGGAGTTTCCGTGATCTTGCTTTTCTTGACAAGATCCTTCAAGGAGTTCGAGAAGAAAAGTTGCAGTTCAAAGACCTTTGGATTTTTCTCAAACAAACTATCACTTGAGCGAGGGATTTCCTCATGTTTTTCATCGCTTATTTCATCCTTTCAGAGAGCAACAGCTCTGTAAACATATTTTCCATCTCCGTGGACAACGACTTCTCTCTTTAATAGAGGTATATTTTCAAACATCGTAATTTGTTCATTAAATACGTTAACAAGCACGAAAACAGGCAGTTCATATATAAATACAACTGAAAAGACTTAAATGAGTTATTTCCTAGCGATTCCTGGCTAGTTTTGTAATATTTCGAGACCATTACGTGATGACGATTTCACAATAGACCTTACGCAAGGAGAGAAGTTTTTCGGTGAAGAAATGTAAAATGGTTTCCGTGTTTACATAGCCTGGTGTAAACACGCGTGAGGTTGGGAGAACACGAGATAAGTGTAGGAAACCACGACGCGAAGCGGAGTGGTTTCCAGCTTATCGAGTGATTATATTGGTATTCGCCTTACTCTGTGTGACAAACACAACGTGGTTTCAGTCGTTTTCATGTGAGACGAGTCAGCCTTGCACTGATCCTAAGAGGGGGAGGGGGGATCGTGGAAAAAGAGACGAGTGACAGGCTTTTGACACTTCCCCCTCGGCATTTTTTCATTTCTGAACGATGCTATAAGATACTCTCTGTTCTGCATGAATTTCTAGTCACGGGAGCTTCAAAAACATCTAAAGTTCCATGTGGAGGAACGAAGTGGAGATATGAGGGTGCTCCTAAAGAAGTATTTAGATAAAATATATGAAAGGGAGAATATGATTAAATATGTTTTAATAACTCTGTCTCTCCGGTCCCTCTGAGGTGACTCATTTTTTCACGGTCAGCTCATTAGTACAATTGGTTGTGAGTTCTATATCGCTGTGTAGAAATTCAAGAGTAGAAATTCTACAAGAAAAGCCATAGTAACAGTGGCTTATGGCTTGTGGCTTATAGATTGCAATTAACTACCAGGAATTAGTTTTTGATGATATTGTGTTCTGGTCCATATGGGAACTTTGTAATATTTTCGCTATCTGTTTCCTTGACAACCAGTATATCGTGTTCTCTATATCCACCTGCACCAGGCTCCCTCTCAGGTACTGTAATCATTGGTTCCATGGATACCACCATGTTTGGATGTAACACCGTCTCGATATCTTCGCGGATTTCCAGCCCAGCTTCACGTCCGTAATAATGAGAAAGAACGCCGAAGGAATGACCGTATCCAAACGTACGATATTTCAGCAAATCGTGTTCGAGGTATAGCTCGTTCAGTTCGTTAGCTATGTCACTGCAACGCGCGCCTGGCTTTATGAGCTCCAGGCCCCGACGATGAACCTTGCAGTTGACTTCCCAGAGTTCTATATGCCGGTCTGATGGCACGTGATCACAAAAGAGTGTACGCTCAAGTGCTGTGTAGTATCTAGGGAAGACATAAAGATACAGAACTGAGAATTAACGTGCAAAGGGGCTAACTGGAAAGAAACACAGTAGTCGATTAATGCTCCGGCTTGCCATGCCTGTTCAGGCATTGTGGAAAATTATTATGGCTGCGGGTTGCCATATTTGTCCAGCAGCTCGGAATAAAGGGATAGAAAACGGAGATCTGATAATGATGATGCTGCAACAACTTTTCAACTAAAAATTAAGTTTTTCAAAAACATATTCATATGTTCTTCTTACAATTTCTGTTTATCATCTCCATAGAGAAAGGACTGGAACCTAATGAAGCCAGACCTGTCGATTCAGAGATTACCGCACAAAGCATTGGACCTCGGAGTCTTCCGTTGTAAATGAAGTCTTTTAAATCAAAGCTATATGATTTATACTCAAGTAATTACTCCACTTGGCCCTCTGTCGCAAGTGTCCCAGATAGCAGACACCTGACGTTAAGCAGATTGCGTAAAAATTTTTAAACAACAACTTACCCAGCTATCATAGGAAAGCAGTTCAAACTGAGTATGTCTCCCTTACGCAATCGCCGCGTGGTAACTGGATTATGAGCACCATCGGTATTAATTCCTGATTGGAACCAAGTCCATGCTGAGAAATACAACAGCGACAATAAAATTAACCAAAAAAAAGTCTGCCGTTAATTTCGGGGGAGCACTTCATGACATTCGAATGAACGGCTGCGTGAAAGTTTGGGAATTCACAAGGATTTCAACTTTTAGTTTTAAATTGCTTCTTTTTATACTCTTCCTTATTTTAACTGGCCGTTGTGATGTCTTCAGTTCAAATTTTACGAAATACAAGCGAAAAGCTCGTATTTTTTCAGAATCGGTAACTATTGGTACCTTCGTGGAACGCGACTTAGGTCCAGGAATTTAACCGGGGGAGGGGGGTGGGGGCAACCATGCGATCCGCATTTTTTCTTATTATTGAAGACTCCCAAGAAGCAAAAAGAAAATGAATAAAGGAATTTAAAAAGGATGAACAATTGAAACTTACTATCTCGTATTTCAGAATGTGGATATGTGTCGGCGATCTCTTTGACCATCGCGTTTGTTGACGCCAAAGCAATCTCGTGCTCAGCGGCACCTTCCTTGATTGCCTTAACAACTGCCTCTCCTCCAAGATCAGCGATACGTGCTCCTTGCTTTATAAGTTCAATTTCTTCGGGAGATTTAATCATGCGCATTTTCATGGTCGGTTGACTGACATCTACGAATTTTGCATAAGGTAAAGCATCGGAGAACTTTCGGTGACTGTCGAGATGGACCCAATCAAACTCCAGGCCTACTGTTTTCGCATCGCCAACCTTGTAGAGATAATTGACGTCTTAGTGACTGCTAAGAAGCGAAAATATCCTGCGACAAATTTTACGATCACAGCAATCCTCATGCAAACCTGTTGTTGTACAGCGTGATAGTAATTGTCTCTTTTCCAGTCCGTATATACGATGTTCTCACCGAATGTTCGGCGCCACGGCTGACCGTAGTCGATGCCTGCAAAATGGAGAAAAATCGCGTTGCACTTTTCGAACAAATGTCCAATGCCTCGGCAGTTTTCGTGAATATCATGCAAACGCTGATAGCAACACGTCCAAATTATTTCTAATATTATTTCGAATATCAAAAACAAAATGTTGAGGACTGGTCATTATCTCTCATCAGTGGAAGGGGGTGGGGTGGGTCGGAGGATTTTGATCCCCAAATGGCCCCCCCTTCAAAATCTTCTGACCCCTTCCTCCCCCCCCCCCCTTCCCACTCCAAGGCGATCAATGATTACTACCAGAACCTTACTGAAAAATAAAATTAAAAAAATAGGGAAAAGAAGAAGAAGATTATACAGCAAAGCTTACCAGCAGAAACACTTGTCGTCTTCGACGGGGTGACAATGAGCGCATACGGCCGACCAAAGTAACAGTACAGGAAATCGCTGTAATAATGTATGTTGTGATAAGATGTAAATACGCATGCGTCAATCCCGTTTGTCTCCATATGGCGTCGAATCATGTCCAGACGGCGTTGCATTTCTTGGGACGAGAAGGTTGGTTTCACCTACAATTGGAAAAGCGTGATGATGAGTAACTGTTGGCTTGGGTATGAGCCCTTGTCTTAATCAGTACACTCTTAGCTTGTTAGTTCGTTTCCTCGAGATGAGAATTGTTTGCCTAAGACGACTCAGTCTTTTAGCTTCTGGCCTCCTGTCTTTAATAAGATGCTAAAATTCCAATTTCCGTAAATTAATTATATAACACACTATTACGCACACAGGTAGCAGAAGAAAGTTTTTTAGGGTTGGCAAGCTAGGGGACTGGGTATATATTTTTTGAGTTTTTAGCCGTGACTTGTTCAGTAATCAGATCTCATACCTCATTGCAAACAGACATTGCAAAGACAAAGTGCAAATTGCACGCTTGACAAGAATAACATGAACACAAACCTTTTCGCCATTATGACATTCAAGTGTACGAATTTCTTTGTGACCGCTCAGCACATTCAAGCTTAACAACCGTTGAAAGACTGGAACCAAAGTTCGTCGAGAAAAGCGTACGTTTTTGGCCAAAAGAAACATCTGAAAAGAAGACATGGGAATGGAAGTAAATCGCGTGGGATGGTTCACAATGTCCCAAAATCCGTGGCACAACTACTAATCTCAAAATAAACTGGGTTATGGCGAAAGCATGACACATTTTATAATGGACTTTCGTTCAAACAAGAAATCCGTCTAAATCTCACCACCAACAGAACTTTATCAATTCTTTGACAAACGTTCTGTCTCCAGATATTTAATTGTTTGTGTCTTCTTTTAATCCTGACAACGTTCGAGTAAATGACGATTTAAGATAAGTCAGGGATTCGAAAATATCACTCAGCCGAAACTGATTAAATTCTTGAATTAAGAGTTCGAAAGAAAGATGGATATTGTCATAAAAAAAAAAATGGTTGGGAGGGGGGGTGGGGGGAATGGAGGAAAATTAAAATTAGTCTAATTTCCACTTAATCATCATATGCAATCACTTGGTGCTTTGATATTCTGCTGCAGTCTATTTTTTGGTCAAAAATAACAATTGATGATTGGTGAAAATTGAAACTAAAGGTTAACGCCGTATCTTACGTGACAAACAATGGGTAACAAAAACAAAAAACAAAACAAATTTATTTATTTTAGCAATTAAAATACATATCTAACAATCCCGACCAGCGAAATTCATCGAGGCGGGAGGGAAACAAACATTAAAATAAATTCTTCAATAACAAGTTTAAGTAAAACGAGGAAATGACTACGAAAACATGCACATATACGAACAGTGAAAAACAGCAAGATAAGTTAACGATAAGCCAATTAGGTATTACATGTTACAACTAGAATAAAATTAAACGCGAAATAAACAACAACAACAACAAATGAAGCTAAAAAGATTGTAATTTTCTAAATTTATCAATTTAAGTATGGACGTCAAAATAAGTATCCTCTCGCATCAAAATGTTCAGCAGCTATCTATGCAATAGTCTTTGAAATTTCTACTTAGGTAGAGCACGAAGACAGATGGGACCCAGTCTTAAAATAGAATTTTTCATATGTTCTGTTCTGGAATGTTTAGATAGAGATTGCCAGCCGCTAACAACTGCATAATCAGTCATAATTTATGCGTCTTCGCTCTGCTATTCATCTTACACCCTTACGTAATTGTTTTTTTCGTATTACTTGCTCAATTTTTGGGTCCTGGTAATTAAGAATTGTACTTGAACGAAATGATGATGTTTTAAGAAATCATTTAAGTGCGTGTCAAATTTAGCTTTTAGGATTAAAGTAAAACCGGGGCTGCAGACAGATCAGAGGCTCTAAAACGAACGGACCGATCGCTGAAAACTACTGATGCATGAAATAATTACGCATTTAGAGACGAACGATTATGCAATAAAACATTCAGTCGAGGTAAAGGGTCGCTAGATTCACTGCATATGTTACAAAAATTTAACTTTCTTCACATTATTTCTGGGACCGGTTGCATCATACGCGTGCGGAAAGTATTTCGGCTAAAATAGGTTGATTCCAGCGCGGCCCTTTGCGCTTCAATTGAAGTTAGAATACTTCTATTGGGGCTGCGCATATATGAAAGTCATATTTGAACTGCGGATAAAGACGTGAATATGATAGCGATCTTCGCAGTAATGAATACTACTTAACCAGTAGTGAAAAGAATGCCTGAAAAAAATTGCACCGGTATCGCCAAGGTCATGGGTTCAAATCCCGCACAGGCCTGAATTTTTTTTTTTTTCAGGCCTTCTTTTCACTACTGTTAAAGTAGTGTTCATTACTGCGAAGATCGCTATCATATTCAGTACCACTATTGTTTTCTATACATAAGCAATATTCTTTAGAATAAATGACTGTGAATATATGAAAATCATATATGTGAACTGCGGATAAAGACGTGAATATGAAAGCGATCTTGATAGTAATGAACACTACCCGAGCAGTAGTCAAAATAAGGCCTGAAAGAAAAAATATTCAGGCCTGTATGGGATTGGAACTTGCTGATTTGTGTGCGTTACAGCGATGACAGGCGTCCCCGGGGAGGCTGAAGGCAGAAGCTTCCACTCGAGGCTTCGTCGCTTATCGCTTAACGCACTTAAAAACAGTCAAGCGCACACAAAACCGCTTGTTACGCACGCCACATGGAAGGCGATTTTTCATGTAAAAGTGAAAGAAAGCAGAATCTTTAACAGTACGATGATTTTATGCATCAAATTCGATTTAGATCTGATATCTTAATACTCATTGCATGTTCATTGCAAATTACCACCTTGAATTCGAAACCTCAACTCGTGAAAATCGCTTGAAGTTTGTGGAACAGCCATGAAAGTGCCTGAGAATCACGGCAAGAGGAAACATGGAAATAATATGAAAAATAAACGTCAACATCGTGCTGATGAGCAATTCGAGATTCGCCAGAGTAAAGGCAACTTAATGGTTACTGACGAAACTTCAGATGAGACCGAAGTCAACAATCTAGCGGTGCAAGGAAAACCATCAGTGTTTCCGGTCTGTAAGTTTACTTTTCTCTCTTATAGCCCTTACTTTTTAAAGATTTGCCGGAATCGAAATGACTCGTTGAAGCAACAAGCAAAGCTGTGTTTGTGCGAAGATTGGCTCTGTTGACTAAGATTTTTTCTTAAATCGAAGCTTACCTCGTTCAGTTACGTGCTGGAGTCACGAACTATCTTTTTAGGCAAGAAAGGTACGCACGGTCGCAGTCAAATAAAATCGATAGTGGAATGAGATGGTCTGCATCACGTTCCATCCAGTGAAATCACCTTGATGGAGAGGAACCAGGTGGTGTTGCGCACTCCGATTGCGTTGCATTGTGGTAGCTTCATTTTCAATATGGCGGTGAAGCGACAGAATTCGGCGCATTTTGACTGAACATTCCGTAAAAGTTAGGCCGCTCCTTTTGCCTTTCACCATAGGTACATGAAATTTGATTTATTCTGAATGTGTAAAACTATTTGGTTAAATTTCCGCACAGCCCCATACTACATTATGCATTCCGTTCTTGGAGAGAGAAAACAATGACAAAAACATTACATTTCCACTGGGAAAACAGATTTGTTTTACAATAGTATGGAACTGTGCGGAAATTTTACCAAGTATTTTTTATACGTATTTGTCACGTATTGAATGGTTCTCAAGGACAAACGCAATCACTGTTTTTAGTATGTAATTTGAGACCAGATTTAGAGACGGTCAAATTTGATGTACGTCGTAGTTTGGAGCCTTTCAAAGATTTCGATGGCCACTTTGATCCTTCTTTAACAGCTCTGACCAAACGCTCTTTAATGGTGCATGTGTTTGAGACCGATTATGGTCGAGAAAAGGCCTGTTGTTGCGTTACACAGCGTTGCTATTGCATACTATTGTTACTATAGTAAATCTGCTTTCATAAGTAAAAGCAAATTAACTTATCGTGAGTATTGTATGGTAAATCTACTATCTTGATCATTGACTGAAGGACAGTTGAATGTGAGCCATGAAAGGAGTCACTAGACCAATGAATAACTCTACACTACACACGGCAACACGCCGGGAAAGCCAGAAAGCAAAAGGCAGTCGATCGTTAAAAGGTGTTGACAGGCTTGTGCGACTCCTGCCATTCGCTTGCGTTTTAAATCTTTTGACCTGAAAGCTTAGCTGTTATTAGGATACCCTCTAATGACTTTCGTTTGCGATGTGATATTAAGGGTTAGTTTTAAGGTGTCATTTCCCCATCTGTATGTTCTTGAGGTTTTGCATAGCCCGTTGAGATTGTGTTACAAAAGGTGATATTTTCATGTGTGCGCACTATTTTTTTTTTGTTTGTTTTCAAGTATCAGTCTCTTCCGCAGAAAATAACTCCAGAGATACGTTTCTCAAACCCCTATTCTAAGTATTCTTTATTCTTTAAGCATATTTGAAAATCTGTACGTTTTTTATTAAACGTTGAGCGTGACAAATTTGGTGTTAGGAGGCGTAAGGCTTCTCCTTTCGCGAATCCTTTATTTACGTCATTAAATGTATGATATGAAAAATATTTCGTGTATTAGAAGGTTGCTGTCTCTTTATAATGCGTTTGCATGTCAAGGGTCGATTCCCCGTTAAATGGCTCGCGAATTTGATATTATTCACACAGCCATCGGCTGTGAGTGTAGCTGCTGTCAAATGAATAGATTCTCGGGCATAGCTGCAGTTTCAATTCTTTCTGAATCTCTTCAGTCGCCTCCTAGCAACGAATTTGTCACGGAGGAATAACAGGAGTCGCACAGGCCCGCAAACACTTTTAAGATTTCAAAGGAACGGTAAAAGACAGTGAATCCCCATTTACATTCCACGCTTATTCACGCTATCTCGCTGCCACCAGGTCAGTGTCATACGACCATTCCTAACTGTGTTCAGCAAGCCGTGGTTGACACCATGGCAGCGGATGAAAACAAAATATACGTAAAGTACAATGTTTTATTTACCTCTTCGACTATTTTCGTTTCCTTTTCTCTCGAGCTTTTCTATCTATGCCAAAAGATTCAGTCTACACGCGTATGATACAACCGGTCCCAGAATTAATGTGAAGGAAGTTAAAATTTGGTAACATATGCAGTGAGTCAGGTGACCCGAACCTCTTTAACCTCGACTGAATATTTTGTTGCATCGGTAGTTTTCAGCGATCGGCCCGTTCGACTCAGAGCTTTCGATCTTTATGCAACCCCGGCTTTATTTTGGTCCTAGAAGCTAAACTCGACACGCACATGGATTGCTTAATTTAAGATATCATCATTCCGTTCAAGTATAATTCTCAACTAACGGGATCCAAACTGATTTGGAATGTAACCTTTTTATTTCATCGAAAGCACAGCGTTTTCGTCATGTTCGCACAATGCGCTTGTAACCTCTATCGCCAATGTTCCCTAACCAATCGAATATTAGTCGAGGTTCATGCGTTCAAAATTTTCATGGGTTGCTCAAAAAAAGTATCAAAAGTTTAAAGTAAGCCAAAAAATGGATATATTCGCCCAATTTCTGCTGTCTTAAAGGTCAATGGCCGCCATCAGATGGAGCGAAGTTAACCACGAAAACAGAGTAAAGAACAGTGACACTCACGGGTGCAAAAATGTTACGACATCAGATACACGTTGATGTGACTTAGCGAAAAATATTTAAGTACATTTTGTTCAAAATTGAACTCACCATATGACTGGAAGATTTCACAGAGCACTGAACCACACCAGAGAACATGTGTCACGACATGCCTGTCTAAGCGAAAACATATTACCATTATTGAAAGCAACTTCATTGTTTGATGATGTGTTGATGTTAACGTGATGTTATCAATAAAGGGCAAAATTACTGAGCGCTGATTGGTTTCAAAGGCTCGCAGTTTTAGACTCTAGATACACCGATCATAAATCGAAAACTCGATTTTTTTCAAAGGCTCGCAGTTTTAGAATACTCGAATAATTGCACAAAAAAAAGAAAAAAAGAAAAAAAGTACGCAAACAAGCTAAGATTCATCTGGTAAATGACAAACTATCACTGGTTCCCTCCTAACGAACCAGTGTTTCTCATTTAAAAAGCGTGTATAAAAAACGAATATTATTTTGAGCATAATTTGGAAAAGTTGGGCATTGCTAGTAGCATAAAATGCGCTACTTTCGCTTTTTAGGAGCTCGCCTTTTATCGCTCTGTTATTTGTTTGTTTTCGTTGGTTTATTCATTTGCTTTTTCATCTAACATTTTCATTTTATCTTTTTCTAATCATTTTTTTTTGTCCTCTCTGATTCAAGACATTTTATCTATCTCATAACGGGATATGGTTTGATGCTTCTCTGGTTTACAGATTTAATGAATGTAACCGAAGAAGTTACAATTTCTTAGACCCAAAGTTTCGACACTCCTGTCTCGGTGCTTTCATTAACGGGATGTTCTCACGTATTGCGTGACATACCAAAAATAGCGAAAAGAGAGAAGTCTAGGTACTAGTGTTTTCTCGAATCTCCTTCACCCTTCTTTTTTTCTTCCGGCATCTAAAAATGGCTGGCAATTTGCCTACTCAGCTTATAGTGTACTGCTCTTTCTAATGGGAAAAGTTGATTTTTTTAGGGTTGTATTTCAGGGTGATAAGACAACGTTCTTCCCTGGTGAAGTTATCCACGGTAATGTTAACGTTAAGGTAAACAGCGATCTTAAACTTCGCGGCATTCGAGTGGAATTCCACGGGGAAGCGAAGGTCTACTTGTCTGGCGGAGATCATAGGAGAAAGCGCCCAGCCAATAGTGAAGAGTACATTAACCTGGTAGCCACTTTGTATGGGAAAGGTTAGTCATTTAAACACTTCTGTTGCTATTTACACAGCTTCAAGATCTTTGCGGGTTGATGTTATTATTAATTACAGAAGCTTATGTCATTAGCAGAGAAAACATATGACATGATTTAGAAATTGACAGAATTTTTACTTATTGATTGTCAAAGCTTCTAAGGCTTAGTGCAAAGAAGTTGTAAGAATTAGCGATATGGGTATAGATAGATGATAATTTGATAGCCATGGTAGACTCAGTTTGGCCTAGGTTTCTAGGGATTTCCTGCGTAATATTTACACGCGTCAACTCGCCTAAACACCACAACAGACTGAGGCTTGTTTTGGGACCAGACAGGTTATTAAATGTATATATCCTACGTAAATAGAATATTACACTATTACACAAAAGGTATTTGACGAATACACTAAACCAACGGTCCAATAATCAAGAATAAATTACAAACACGAATGAGATTAAGATACAATCAAAACTGTCGATGGTGTGGGTGGAAGGGAAACTAGTAAAACTTTCTTAAAGCTAGAAATAAGCTTTTTACTTGCTTGCTTGCTAGATAACTAACAGTAGAAATAATTTCGCCATTAAAACGCGTTGGCGTGGTGAATAGTTATTGGCTCTACCCTAGTCTTATGACTTACATGCTGAACAAATTGCTCAAATTGAGGAAAGGCTAATATGCACCTTGCCTGTACCCAGTCCAGACCTCTCAGTTATCGATGTCTAGATTCATATTTATAGAGATTAATATTCACTTCAAAAATATTGTGTAACTAACTAACTGGTTTGTGGAAAAAAAATGTTTGAATTGCTTATTAAATTAAAGAGGCATTGACTCCAAAGCTTGAACTGAGGGGCCAGACAGGTGGAGTGACTTAACTTTGTCATTCAGCTTGTTGGGTGATGATTTGAAGGTACTGGTTAACTAAGAACAGAATGATAGTAAAACATGAAATGTGTAATTAAAGTTAATGTATCACACAAGGCGACCATTTTGAACCCATGCCTTACAGTCATTCAATTTGACAGCTACATGTATAAAAACCCTATCCTACTCCTATGATTTGCATGGTGAACAAAGTGCTCAGTCCAAGAGAGGACTATTATGTAAACCGCCTGTGCCTACTTTAGACTTCTCAGTTATCAATGTCTAGATTTATATTTAATAGAGATCAATATTCACAGTTTTCTTGTTAATATTGTACATCTGTAACATATTATAAAGAAATAATCATTTGTTTCAATCCACCACAACTTCTTGCTTGAGGAACTAATGAAAGCCCAGTGTTTACAAAATAATCATGAACAAAGCAGAGATTAAGTCCCCTGCTATGACTTTGCTGTGAAAAAATAATGAGGCATTTAAATTTATATGATATGAAACATATTGAAATACGGTCTTAACTTTAAAAAGCTCAGGTCCTGTGTGCTGTTTTCATCAGCCACTTACCTGCCAAGATTTGGCAACAGTTACTTCTCTCAGTTGGCAAAAGAGGTCTAGGGGTATGGTTCAATTAGATTGCGCACTTAGGTTATACTTTACCTCTAAGAGCTAATAATAATGCCGCTGTTACAAAGTAAAAAATTGTATACATTTTTTTAAAATGAATTTAAAATGACACACTCTTCTTTTAGCACCTGAGCAGTCTGGTGAAAATCCAGTGCTAGGGCCTGGAGAGTACAGCTTTCCATTCCAGTTTCACATGCCAAGTGATAACCTACCAACATCCGTTGAAGGAAACTTTGGTCATGTGCGATACTGGCTTAAAGCTTTCATCGATCGTCCATGGAGATTTGACATTACAACAAAATCAGTGTTCACTGTTATTGAACGTGTTGACATAAATCTAACACCAGGCTTATTGGTAAGTGTCAGCTTATGATTACCGGTAAATGACCAAAAAATATTTTGCTGTCTTAAGTTTCACAGTACTGTCTACAAAAATACTGTCCAAGTTTTAATTAAAACCCTTCAATCCCTTAGAGTGACTAGCATCTAATTTCTCCTTGCAGTATCACTAAAGTATTGAACTGAAAGGTCATGGGTGTAACTAAAGATACTCTTGATGAATTGAATAAGTTCTCCTTATCAGTACCCTTGGACCTGTATAGAGAACAATATGGAGAGTGTGTATATTGATGTTTAAGAGTGTAGGGTTGGAAAAGCTTGAAGGAGGATAAAAGTGTATTAATTGAAAAGAGACTATTTACCATGTCTGAGTGAGAAATGTCTACACCATCAGAATTTGGGTAGAAAGCAGAAAGTTCTGCAGAATGGCAGGGAAATTTTTCAGTCTCCTATACTTGACAGTGAAGTTAAAGTACCCTTTTTTAGTGCAAAATGGGGGACAACTTTCAGTTAAAACGAAAACTTAAGATCAGTAGCACGATCCAGGGTGGCAAAGCATGTTTACGAAAACCATATTGAGCAAAAAAATATATATTTCAAACAAAACACTTTAAAACTTATATATCCTGTTAGATATAGTTAACCTCTTTGTATTAAACCAAAAATCGTGGTAATAGAGGAAGAATTTATTTTTTTATGGATTTTAGTATTCAGAAAAGTGAGGCGAATTCTTATGTAACGCGTAACATAATCTGACAAAGCATCAAACATATTCAAAAATTTCTTACTTAAAAATTTAAAATTTCAAAATAATTTTGACTTAGAAATACACTAGAAACATAGACTTTTCAATAAAATAGTTAAAATTGGAACACTGAATTGTAATATTCGCGCTACGAAACAATTTTCTCGGCGACCGAACATGTAACGCTGTTTATACAATATTGTACTATACTTCATAGTCACCAAGATTTTGTCGCAAAAAAAGCTCAAATCAGTTTAAAAAAATACATACAATAATTCTCAGATGATTTATTTTCTGTATACAAATTTTTATTCCATTTAATTCAAAGACAGCGTAAAAAATCCAAAAAGTCTGAATCGCGAACACATAAAATGCATAGAAAATTTACCTTAAAATTATTTATCCTCATCTCCAAAAAGGTCTGTGATAGCCGCGCTTAAAATGAAATTGCTCTTCAACTAGCAGATCTGTCATTCTCAAATTCTAAACTTTCTATCGGTACCAAATGTTCACGAATCTAACTCAATTTAACATCTAAATTTATGTCTTTTTTGAATCGCGAACATATTCGATCTTGGAACAGTATTGTTTGCATTGGTGTATCAGTTTACACGCGCAAAATAGTGGCAGTTTTAGAAATCTTCGCATCTAAACTTCGCTTCTTCCTCGCTTACAACAACCTTGTACATTACATCTAGAGGGGGTATACAACAATTAATTGATATACACCCATGAACAAACGATCGTTTGAGACTGGAAATTACTAGAGAACGTGACTTCCCTAGCGTGACTTCTTCCGTCGAGAATTTACACGCTTCGCTTGCGAAATATTCAATGGAAAACAAAAAATATTCTGCTGATCAATGGAGAAAAGAAAAAGAAGAAAAAAAGCTTAAACAACAAAGGGAATACTATGAAAGAAACAAAGAAGTTCTTGCACAAAAAGCAAGAGAAAGAATGCGCTTGCTTCGAAGCAAGAAAAAAAACGCGACAGTCGCCGCAGTGAAAACACGCACATCTGCACAAAAGGCTGATGACAAAAGAGCCAACCGTGAGCGGAATGCTGCATCAGCTACCAAGAAGAAGGTTTTGAAGCAAAGAGAAAAAGAGAGGGAAGAGAAAAAGCGACAGCAAACTCGAGAAAGGGTTCGAAAACTTCGTCAGAATAGAAAAGAGTCATCATTTGCGCAACCGAAACCGGAAGTCAACATCACCACACCAGCTTTTAGTTCAAGGATGGCAAAAAAACGTGCAAAGGACAAGGTGTCCCCTGCCTTACCTCAAACCCCCGCAAAAAAGGCTGAAATTCTTCAAAACCTTGCAAGTACTCCTCGCACAAGGAAGATTCTTGAAAAAAAGAAGTTCGTGAGACCAGTTGAGGAGCAACAAAATATCGAAGCAATGGAGTGTTTGGTAGAAGATTTGGCAGAAGGATTGTCCAAAGTCAAAAAAGCTAAGTCGACTGATGAAAGAGCAGCTTATAACTGTACGCGCTCTTTGGCTTTTGGATCTTCTGTCAAAAAAAACAAGCACCAAACACGGATTGCCAAGATGAAAAAATAAATAAATGATAAATGATAAATGATAAATAGGCGTAGAAATGTATTATTCCAGCTTTTACCCAACCAGCATGAGGAAATTATGTCTTCTTTTTAGTTATGTAAATAAAACTGTGTTATTTCTAAACAGAATCGTGAATTTAAGCCTGCATGATGACCACGCCTGCTATGCATTCTGGGTATTAAGTAATGAGGATAATTTAACAGATAACATCAAATATTTTCTCAAAAAGTAGTTCTTACAATAAAAGTTTATGAATAATCTATGTTTTGATGATTTTTTGGTAATTTTATGAAGTTGCTAGTTTTTCCCTAATGTTACGCATTTGTACCCCTGGATCTTGCAACTGATCTTAAATGAGTTTTTGGATTCAATTTTCCAGGGTTGTAATAAATTATATATGTTTTGATGGTTTTTCTGTCCAATTAGCAACCTTGTCAAGTTGAAAAAGAACAACAGTATGGATTTGCTTGCTTGGCTGGCCCTATAAATGTGACTGTTCAAACAGACAGAGGAGGTTACTGTCCAGGGGAATCTATTGCATTTTCAGCATTCATTAACAACCAATCAGGCTGCGGACTCAGTGGGGCAGAGATTATTCTGTATCAAATTTCAGTCTACACAATTAAGGGTGGTAAGTTAAGGGTGGGTGGAAAAGAATAGCAGCTAATTGAGGTAACAGCCATTAAATGGTTGGTTGAATTAGAATGGAGTTATTGAAGTAGCCTAGTGTCTCAAGCCTTAAAGTAGTCTGCTGCTGCTAAATTATTATTGTCAGTTTCGGAAGGGTGAAGATAAATGAACTAAGAAATCAATATTGCTACCCTTCCCAAGAAGGGATATTAATCTTTTCATGATAACACACTCCATACCTCAGTTCTTAACTTGTTGTCAGAAAATAATTGAAAAATTACAACTCTTATTAAGCTAACTACAGTACAACCTCGTTTATTTCATCTGTGATGAAGCAAAATGAAATCAGGAAGTGCAGTTTTAAATATTTGTTTTATTAATAAGTACTCCTTACCCAAGGTAATACAAATAAATCTATTTTATTTTTCCGTCTACTTTTAATTTAGGTATGAGTTCAGGTAAAACATCAGGAAAGCGTGTAAATGAAATTGTGGCTTCATTAAAGAGAGATGAGATCAGAGGAGTTGGAGATCATCACCTGGAGATGGTACCACTTAAAATTCCCTCCCTTCCCCCCACAATGTCAAGTTGTAGCTGTATTAAGATATCATATGAAGTGAAGGTAATCTTATTTGTATCAAACATGATTGCTTCTTGGCACCAAAATTTTGAGCAACAAGGAGTCAGATGAGGTTACATAATGCCAATTAAATAATGAAATGAAAGTAATTTTACCTTTTTTAAGGTGAAAATCTTTAAGTTATTAATATTAAAGATTGCATATATTATTTATGCAAATGGTTTGAGCCTGAGGGTAACATGTGGCAATGGAGTATGATTGTCTAGGTGATTGTAGTCCTGAGGAGGACTGTTGGTGGTAGTGGTGACTGACATTTCGATAACCTAAGCAGAAGTCAAGTAAGATTTTATCTTGGTTCTTCATTTGAAATAACATCTCTGGAAAAATTTATATATGATTGTTAATGACGAAGATATAATTATATGGTTTCTAGATTATGCTTCTCATTTTGAAATGCTTTCATTCTCATAACTGGGTGATAAATTATAATTTAAACAAAGTTGTTTCTGGTTAGCCTGACTACACATTATGATTGCTGCTCAGAATGGTGTTATTGGTGTTTGTAACTGGCAGATAATCAATGTGATGCACTGATGTTCAATTTTTCCACCTACAGTTCATCCTCCATGTCAGTGGATGGAGAGCAAAGGACCTTATTCTATCAGTTCCATTAACAATAGGCTCTGTACCTTACCAACCACCAGTTCTTCCAACATCTGTGGAACCCTCAGCTCCCCCACTCTCCCCTCCCCCCTACTCTGAAGGTCAGACATACCCTGGTGTGGGTAAGTGATTATCTAGACAAGAGTTTTGAATTTGACAAACAGTAGTTTTTCGTTGAAGTCTCCTGTCACAATCTTCTTACAATTCATTTATTGATTTATCTTTTTTTCTCTACAGTTCTTCCATCGTACGCAGAATGTGTGTATGGTGGGGTGTCTGTTCGTGACGAGAATGATTCCAACGACATGATGAGTGACTCAACCTTCACTCCAATGTATCCGTTTGTTAGCCATTACGAGGTTCCCTCTGCTGCAAGCCAAGACTCTGCTACTGTGGCTGCTGCTCAACAGCCACAAGCCTCATCTAGTAAAGTGCCTCTGCCTTAAATTTGAACATTTGTACAATTTCATGATGAATTAGACTGAGACGGTTTTTGATGAAAAATGCGAAAAATTTAGACCTCAATGTAATAATAGACATCTTTGGACTCTCGATGACCTCAATTGAAAATTGCTCTCAATGTAATCAGAGTGTGGTGGAGATGGGTGCTTGAAATAAGACCTAAACTTTCTAGCAATTGACTTTCATATTCCGTTTGAAATGAGAAGGTGATCAATATGTTTGATTAATTTCGTCTCAATTTAGATAGCTGAACTAAGTAAGTAATTAAGTAAGTAAGCAAGTTAACTCTTTATTTAAAGAGGGTAGCACTTAATAGCCAAAGGGTTAATAAACTTGTGGCCCTCTTACAATACATTTGGTAATACTAATACAAATATAGATATCAATAAGTAAAAATAAATACATTATTATAGAAATAGAAGAACAGTTTAAAAAATTAAAAATGTCATGAAGATGATGCCTTGTGAGTTTAAGTACTTTTTATCAAATGACGCAAAGGTATATAAGTTGTTTTAGACTCTGGAATTAGCCTGATATATCATATTTATTCAAGTTGTGGGTTCTAAACGGGGTAAAAGATCTTCAATAATTAGAATTAGGAGACCGTCAATTTTGAGCCCGCGAATGAAGTAGATACAGATTTTTTTTTGTATCATTTCTCTGTCTATGATAATTATTTTTAGAACAATGTTTTACGATTCGGATTAGTGATTTTTACTTTACCTTGAGCAGCGTTTTTCCCAAATGTACATTTTGCTGTCGGTTTATGACTATGAACAGAGACGCAATAAAAAATGATTCAGTGATTTATTCAGAATTTTTTGATGAATTGTTATGTTAATATATAAATCTTCTAGTAGGTCAGTAATTAGGAATAGGGTGTTATTTGAATATCAAAAAAGTTCCATAGTGTAACTAAAAATATTGGTAATTCAAATCGAAATTTATTAAGTTAAAGTTACAAATAAAATCCAACAACTGAAACAAAAGCACGGTGATCGATTTGCAGCAACGCAGTAACTTGATTAACAATATGTTAATGAGGAGCTTGATGTACTCCATGCTCCTGAAAAGAAGTTAACATGCAGTCAGAGAATTTCGCCGCTTATTCTTGATGAGCGATTTCTTTACGCAAAAATTTCCGTCTTCCCTCTCTCTCCATATTAGGGAATTTTGATAATGTTCTTGTTCAACTGTCCGCGTATCTTTTTTACTTTAAGATCAGATATATTATAATTGCTTGACAGTTATGGAGACTTGATTTCCTGTATTAGGAAAGATGAAGTAGCTTACCGCTTTGTTGTTGTCCTTATTATTATTATTATTGTTATTATTATTATTATTATTATTATTAATATTTTTATTATTATTGGTATTATTAATATGCGACAGCCGCCTTAATGATAGAGATTATTTTCCTCCAACAAACCGTATCGAAGTGGGAAGCCACTTTGTTCTATTACCCAGAGAAACTCATCTAAACAACGTATGCTTGAGGCTTCTTTTGTTTCAGCTGCGATCAGGTCTCCAAGCTATTTTACCCATCAGCAAATATGTGAATATTAGAATATGCAAATTTCTGTATAAGTTCTCCGCTCTAGTGGCTCTGTCTCTTTATACATAAATATGTTGTCATCAAGGATTACGAGCGAATATGTCTAAACGCGACTTTTAAGAGCAAGCAATTGAGGAAACGTTTTCCAATCATAAACCTTCGTTTGACAGCTCAATCTTCAAGCTAAATTTTACCATGTAGTGTACAGAACTATCATGGAAAGTATAGAGTTGTTTGCAGTTGAAATTTACGGGGATGGATGTTTTTATCCGGGAGATGTTGTGTACGGCGACGTATATTTGAAGACAAATGAAGAACTGACGGTCAGAGAAATTCGCATCGAGTTTTATGGGGAAGCAAAGGTTTCATGGTCCGAGGCGGCGAGAAAGAAGCGACTTGGAACGCGTGATTACTCGAATTACGAGCAGTATTTAAACATTGCAGTAACAGTTTATGGAAAGGGTAAGAAGCCACTGTACTTAGCTTGTAAATATTGAATACTGCGGGTGTTTTAAAATGCATCATTGATCGCAATTTTGATCGGTGAAAATCAGCTGGCTCTTGAGTCAAAATTCACTTCGATTTTGCATTGCCACATAATATACAACTGAACTTTGCGGTTTGTTGCATTGGCTATCTTAATATTCAGTTGCAAATGCTTTGCTGGGCATATTTCAAATATATAATGCTGTTTACGGCAGCTTATAATTCACTGTGAACTGATATCTCTTTATTCTTATTCACTTGAATGATACTTGATAACTTTCATGACTGAAGAAAATTTGCTTGCAGACACTGACGGCAAATTAAAGAAATAAAAAAGCACAACATTCTGTTGAGATCTTTAAGTCTTCAGGGGGTTGGATTAAAAGATTTTGTTCAACAAGTTATCATATTCGACCCCAAGAGGCTCTCCGTCACTTCATGCAAAAATACGTTTCCAAAGCAAATGTCATCTCCGAGTACTTTCAATTTAACTACTTAGAGTTAGCTTGTAAAATCGATATTACATTCGCTCTTGATCAGAACTTTCGGGTAAGATCTGTCGATCTCTAAAATGCAGAGACAGGCTCGGCTGCGCCTCGCGTGCCATTTGTTCTGTTTGTAACACATCTTGTTAGTAGACGTACGTCATCTGTAATATGTTACTGAAAGTACACAGCCGGCGTTAAGGAATCTATTTTCACTCTACTATGAAATGAATCTCTTAATAGTTCCGGGTCAAATCGGCGCAAATCCAGTCTTGCCCAGTGGGGAGCATTCCTTTCCATTCGAGGTTCGGCTCCCAGAAGACAACCTTCCCACCACATTTGAAGGAAAACATGGCCACGTGAAATACTGGCTCAAGGCCATTCTTGATCGGCCGTGGAAAGATGAGATTAAGATCGTAGAACCGTTCACCGTCACGGAGAGGATTGATGTTAATCAGCCGGAGTTTCTCGTAAGATCATGCACCGATCATTCAGTACAATGTAAACTACATGAATATGTAATTATAAAGCGCATGGCTACACTATTAATGGTAATACTGATGGTAAAGAATTTGAACTCGGAGCACCATTCGTTCAAATGGAGATGGAAAGAGAGCGCGAAAGAGTAACTCCGAGGCGCGAAAAATAGAAAAACCAACAAACACACCCACACACACATGCAAACCTCGTTGCTTAATCTTTTGACACCTATCTTAAAATGGGAAATTTTCCTTTTGCCGTTTAGTAATGACCGAGGCGGTGGGGAGGGGCTCAAGACGCAGCTTTGTCCCAGAGGACAACGGACCATTACCATAGGTTCCCTTGTTCCTAAGTTTCGTTGTGTTGAACTAAAACGAAATTTGGATTGAAAAGAGAGATATCAATGTCATGTTTTGTTTCGCTTTAAGCGCCCAGCTCAAATCCAGGAAGACCGGACAATGGGTTGCCTGTGCTGTGTCTCTGGGCCACTGAGTGTCACAGTCAGGACAGACAGAGCAGCCTATTGTGGAGGTGAACTTATGACAGTGACAGTGTACGCTAACAACCAGTCGAAACACAGGATTCTTGGAGTGGAATTAGAGCTCATTAAGGACACTGTATTCGTCGCATCTGGAGGTGGGTGGAACATTCGACCTTTAGTGTATTTCTCACAACAGAGTTATTCCCTTAGCGCACGTTCATTGGCTGACGCGGTGCTAAGCAAAGTACGGTAGTTCGTTTAACAAGTTATACTTAGCATGAACGAATTACTTTTTTCCGTTCTCTCTAGGTAAAAAGGTTTTCAGTGCTGAAACTATCGCAACTATCACAAAAGCTTGTAATAAGACCTCGAACACAGACGGACATGACTTCTTTGAGATGGTGCCATTTCTCATCCCATCCTTAACGCCAACTATGAAGAACTGCAGGTGTATAAAGATTTCGTACCAGATGAAGGTAAATTTTCCATGTTCACAGTTGTTTTTCCAGGGTTCCAATAACCGAAAGACACTCTCAGACAAAACAGACACGAATCATCTTGAAATACGTTATCTAAATTTTTCAAGTATCTCGTTGGCACCCCGCCTGCACTCTTCCGGGCTCCATCTTAATCATCGTCGGTCATGTCTGGATTTTATTTTCTATATTTCTTTCTTTTTTTCTATTTTTCCTTGGTTTACGGTGAAGATAATTTTACAAATTGCAAAAAATTAACTCATGGCTGTAATTAATATTAATGTTAAATAATAGAGTGCATTTCGACTTAGTTGGGATACAAGCAAGAAGGTAGTAAGAGATGTCTGGAGAAAAATTTTAGTAAAAAACGAGTGACAATCAGTGATTGGTTTCTGAGCCATACCGCGAAAGTGGTGTGAGTTTTCTAAAACGCCTCTGACCACAGAAAATAGTTAAACAGACCCAATGCAAGAGTCAATTTCAACTTAATTACTCCTATCTTTCTATTTCCTAATCTGTTCTTCTAGTCCACTCTGCTGATACGAGGATCCGTAAACTTCTGTGTCCATTTACCAATCACCATCGGCTCCATTCCCTGCCAAGTGAGTACATCTCGCAGACCATCCCAAAAAGGCTCCAACTCTTCGATATCATCAGGCGTCACGTTCATGGGATTCCCGTCTACGTCTATGGAACACTCTGACGGTATGATATCATTTAATGAAGAAGGTTAAAAGTCTTACTTTCCGGATACACCTCTATAAAGTGACGGGGTTACTCGTCAGACAATTTCAGAAACCCCCTCGAAAAGATGCCAGAAGTTCATTCCGTGGGAGTGGAACCGCACAGTACTTTCTTTCTTTCTATTTATTGATCATTTACCCAAAATCTTTTCATTATTTCAGGTTGTTTTGCCCCAAACGTTTCTGTCCCTTCTTTCCGATGAAGCACCCGCCCAACTACCTTAATCATGCTCCCCTAATCACGACTTACTTTTTCTTTCAGCCCCACCATCTTATGCTGAAAGCATCAGAGGTCAGACGAGAAGATATGATGCAGTGTATTACAACAAGGGAGAGGAATTTAATTCACTCAATTCACCGCAGTTCTCTGCGGATACTAAGAAGACATCCTAATTTTCTCTTTGGTTAAAAAGTTTCAACAATATTAGGAGGGATCAAGAGAAGATAGAAGCACTTGTTGGTTTTCGTGACCAGAATATGTACGAGTTCGAGTTTATGTACATATACGCAAGACGAACTATAGCTTTGAAGACTCATTCACGCCGAGATGCCGCTTTTAACTATTCAAGGAAAAATTTTGATAACACTCCGGCGTAAGAAATCTAAATATCCTTAATTCAAAGGAAACCGTATGCCGTGTGAAAATTTGGCCAAAACGTCGAAATTCTAAAAAAAAATTCTCGAAAACTCAAAAATTATGTTTGTAAGCAATATACAAGTATGTCTGTCCTGTGCACACGCGTAATACAGCAAAGCTCCATAAAAAGGGGAATAGTAGAACCACAGTGAATTAGAATAGAAGTGAAAAGATTGAAAAAATTAGAATAAAATAATGATAAAATTCCAAGACCTTGTCAAATGCTGCGACATTGTTCGATGGTGTTTGGAGATGTTGGCCAAACGTACACATTGCAACATGTTGCAACATTTTACAGGTTTGTCGATGCTGATATGCCCCAATCCCTTGGCCCGCTCGAAGCTCGGACGTCAACGCCATTTCTAAAATGGGGGACTTTGAGTGGTACCGATGTCGTCGTGGAGGAATGTTAGCTTTCACTGGCACTACTGCTAACGGATGATGAAAGAGTTAGTTAGGGAGGTAAAACTCGGCAATGGATTAAGAAGAAACAAGAGGGTTGATTCGCAAATGCTGGTAAATGTATTCAATGATAGAAAACGTGGCGGGATACACAGAGATGTTCCAAGCAACCCTGTATATTTCCATAGCCTCAGTTGCCTTCGTTGTTTTTGCTACTTTCCGGCCTAGTGCCACTACATCGGCCACACTGATATCAAGTGTACTCAGTAATTCTTCCAAACCTTGTTCTCCTGTGTAGTATGACTTAACGAATATGTTTCAAAGCCAAGGAGGCTCCCCAACATGTCTATTGGCTTCCTTGGTTTCGGTTATTCAATTGGAACATTATTGGTTCTATTTCATTACAGACGAACATTTAAATTTTTGTCGGAACTCTTAAAGTCATGTCGCTAAAAGGTTGTGTCGAATAAATTTAGCAAAAAAAAATACAAAATTCAAAAACGAAAACAAAAAAAAAAAAAAGAAGAGAAAAAAGAAAAGAAAACGTTTTTTTTACATTAATCAATACGTTTCTAAAAAGTTCTAAAAAAACAATCAAATGTTTATTTCATAAAGCACCATTACAATGTCATTTATATTGGTATTTCGGTCACTCCAAAAAAAGGGTTCTTGAGAGAGCATTCAATACAAATGTGTGACTGGTATATTCCAATCAAGGCCGGCAAAACCTACGATTACGTCTACCAGAAAATAAGAAGGTATACTTAACGAACCACTTTCGCGAATGGAAAGACGTATTTAGTATGTCGAACGGCAACAGAACTTCCTTAGTCAATATTTGTGGAGGCCAGCTTCACTTCCAGTTAGAAAAGTATAAACTTCATTGTCGGAACAAGATACATTGGTAACGATACCACATTATTAATTAGTTAATTAATAAACTCATAAAACGACCTCACGATTCGCAGTCGTTCGAAATCTTAAGGCACTCTTCGAGTTTACTTAGAAAGAAAAATCACGTTATCTAAATACTGACCACACTTTGGATTACTCTTTAAACAATAAGAACAATTTTCCCTCGCCAAGTACTCCTACCTTAGAAGATTTGTGCTAGATACTTATAAAGACGTTTCATGGCTAAAAAAACTAAGTAACTCTTTAAGTCCTTCGAATTCCAATCTCAAGATATCCAAACCCATTAACGTATCATGTAGCCTACGTGTAGCCGTACCCTCCCCCTGCAAGGGTATCATGTTAACCTCCCAAAACGTACCCTATAAATGGCTTTTGTTATGAATCTTAAGGAAAACTTTGAGTTTACTTTTGTTTCTAAGTAGATTCTGCAGCTAGTTATAAATCATATACTTAATCAAATTTTTCATTAACAAATTTCATAAAAAGTCTGAAAAATCATAGCGAATATACTTTTACTGTGATTCTCAAATATGTTATCTTTTTAATGTCAATAGAAAAATATAAAAAATAAAATATTGCGCGTTGTTAATAGAGCATCTATTAAAATTGGTTGTATGGCATCGCAGGAACGACTGGTCTTAATCAGACACTTTTATCCATGACATCTGAGCTCAGTTGTCACTTTTAAAAATAAACTTCTCCAACTGCATCATGGGATATTCCACACACACTGACACAATAAAGGCCACTGCATACGAAATGCCAAGTACACCGACAAAACAAAATGCCTGGTAAGGAAAAAAAGACATACACAATTACGTAACTACTGAACGTTCACATTCAACAGCAACAGCACTGCATTTCTTACGAAAGGAACAACAGTACATGGATCGAAAAACAGTAAATCGAGTCGCACTTACAATGTGGACATCAGAATATGCCCGAACAGTCTCATACGACTGAAACAGAACAAAGATGATGATAGGGTGAACCAGATAGGCACAATACGTCAGCCGGCTCAGTGGAATCCAGAATCGAGCCGACAGGAATTTATTCACCAGACCTTCAAAAGAAGAAGAGAACAAATAAAATCGAGTATTGCTACACTAATGCAACATCGACCAGTAATGAACATCTCTCGTATCCGGTAAGAGATCTCGTAAACATGAAAGCTAAAAAATTGAGACTGTTTTTTTCCAATCGCATGGCATGCATACCATAAAGGCTAACTCTCTGAGACTTTATGAGAATCCAACGCTATGATATATCATGCCTTATAACATTAAACACCACACGCCAAACACAGAACGAGCCATAGAAAACTCGGGGAAATACAAGCAATCACGCTTGGGCGCGGGAAAACGCAAGTTAGCAAATCACGTTCGAGTTTATTATAGTATCATGATACTGGCCTTAGTGGGTGGTAACGTTTGTGAACTCAACCAAAAGCGTTAAACGATCACAATATCGCTACACTCTATCGAAAATCGCTTTACACGTACCTCCAAGCCCGTTATGGCAAGCAAATATCACCCAGGCTAATGCCAGGCTCCACGCGAAACGTGAGAAAGTTCCGTATATGATATTCTCAGCGCGAGAAAATTGCACGGGATTGTCTTTCCTTAACGCTTTGTACTGACCATACAGAGTAGACAGAGCGAGAACAATAGCAACACACCAGCCAGCCATGTTGAACAAGTACGTCTGAACCTTGAAGAAGTAAAACACTCAATTTGATTTCATTCCAAATTGTGATCAGATTCCTCCACGGGAAAGAATAAAGCCACTAAAATATGCCTCGCTTTCAACCTGTGGCTTCGTGGCTCAGTTGGTAGTACCGCTTAACTAGTATGTAGGAGGTACGAGTTCGAAGCCTGAATTTTTTCCCACCACAAGAATAAATTATTTTATCCCCAGGTATAATCTTTAGCACCTTGCAAACTACTCTTTGCAGGCAAAAAGGGGCTCCCACCGCCAACAAAAACAAGTTCCAACAAAAATGTCAACCAACATTTATGTGAAAAGATATGATCACCATAATTTCATACCTTAGTGGAAAGTCTCCAGTCCTTTACGTGAAGAAGTAAGTATCCTGTTACTATGCCGACAAGATACGGTGAAATACGACAGTAAGGCTTGACGTAAGTCAGAGACATGGAATCCACACCGCGCCCCCTACAAAAAAAGTCATTGACATACGACAAAGTGAGAACTAAAGAGGGGCATCGAGATTTGCGCTTTTTCTCCACCGTTTGATAACACGTCTGAGCTTCAGCTCGTTGCCATAGCAAAACCAGGAAAAAACAAGCAAATAAACAATCAAAACATAAGAAACGCAAACAAAAAGGTAAAAAAATAGGTTCTCACGCGGCATCTAAAGCAGCTTTACTGATTATAACAGCAGGAAGGTCATAGTGAGCATAGATAACAGCTGTGGTGGTAAAACTGATACCCAGTAACAGAGCAACAAACACAATCAGTCCTCGCAGTCGAAACCTGGTAAGAAACACACAAGTCATTCATGAATGAAGCGATAAACATCAGAACTGAATTGTTTCAGGCTTAGAGCTGAATAGTGACTTAACAGAATGACGAAGAAAAACAGAAAGCCCCGCCATATCGCGATATTTCTCAATATCCATAACTTTTCTATTTATTTAAACAATTTCTTGCTATACCGGAGACTTCTAAATATTCTAATGATATCCAGATATCTAAGGAGAGCTTGCTGTGGTGAAAAAAAACCCTACTTAGCCGGTCCAAGCAATACGCAGGACACGTGTCACATGAACTTAGCTAGTGATGGTTTTGCTCAACATTGAGTGTGGCTCGGTGGTAGAGCATCGGAGCGCCCAATCCAAAGTTCTGAAATTCCATTCTTCACAGGAACTCAGAATCATTCTTGGTACAACACTCGTGACATGACGATAAAACATCTTTCTGCAACACTACTTAGACCTTCAAGGTCTATTAGTTTTTGGAGGAAAAATATCAATTTTTTAATTTGCTTGCAAACCAGTATACTGTTCAGTGAGACACCAAGAACGATTTTTACTGAGACTATTAAAATAATGTCTTTTGTACATACCTGTACGCCACAAAGAGAACGGCGGGAGCAATGATATAAAATTGCATGTCATTTGCTAGGTACCAGCTCCAGTCAAAACACTGCAAAAAATAGGAAAAAATAAATCGATAAATGTACACAGGAAAAAACGTAAGGAGCCTTTTAGTAACTAAGCAAATTAGCTAAATTGAACAACGTAGGTCTGATAGATGGAGCGCTCATCAGAGATTTTTCAAATCCATGGCGTGTCAACCATTTTGACTCAGAAAAAGATCGAATACGTTACAATTATCCGAAAGCGATATTTGGCCAAAAGGTAATACGGGTTACGAAACCTATCAGCTTAAGGGCGCAATCTTGATGTAAAATCATATTCTTTCACTTAAATTACAAGGAAATGTATAGCAACAGATGGGAAGAATCACTGACAAGATCTTAGCAGATAAATCTCACCGATGCACCAAAACTAGTTGGATAGAAGTTGTTAATGTAGAGTAAGTTGGTCCACCAGTACTTGTCACACGGGTTCTTTTCCTGGGCTTGATACCAAAAAGGGCCGTCACCAAGAAATCCATTCAGTTTGTCGTAAAACAACAAAACGAACATGTAAGCTGGAGTTAACCTGGGGAACGATTTGG